CTTTTATATTCATGCCGACATTTATACTTTTTTTGTTTGCTTTCTTCCACAAACAAAGAGGCATTTGAGCCGTGTCGCACCGAAGTCCGTTTTTTGTGTCGCCTGTCTATGTTTGTCGTAAAAGCCACTTTTTGCGGAGCATTGGTTATTTTTTTATAGAGTCCATATTAATTTTATGAGCTGTTATGTGTTTGTGTTGGGCTTTGTGTCTTATTACGTGGTGTCGGTCGAGATTATTCAGTCAATTACCGTGTCCATTTCAATCATGGTATTGTAATTAATAATGATGTTCAGAAAATCGCTAATTTTTTTGTTTTGCGAACAGGTAAGCATTTGTTTACTTACTATGTTTATATTAAATCAGGTCAATATCTTAATTGTCCAATCAGCATCATCATAGACTAATCAATACATTATAATCTGTCGCAAACGTTCAAGTTCAAAACAGAAACTATGACTGCGACGACATGCTATTGCAATTTTATTATAATTGCATGTCCAATATAAATAAAGTAGTAATTTATACATTGAGCCACAAATATGGACGCATTACGTCGTGCTGAATACGAACAAGAAATTATGTACATATAATGCATGTATCTTGAGACAGGACCTCTCCGTTGCGTCACCCAAAGGACGTCAACAATATTACTTTCACTGTTTTTGGCCATTCCACGCTTGTTTTGAAATCTTGTTGCTCTGCTTTTGTGACACGATTTGTTATGACTATTTTTGCGACTGATATGATGTATGTATAGTACTTAAAGCAGATCTACAAAAACACCACGTATAATTTATCGCTAGCTGCAACCCGCCGGCGATGCCATATGAATGATTTCCACCGAGACCTGCTTACGTACAACGATGATGAATACCATATTGTATTCTGATTCCAGATGAAACAGATCTTGTGTATTATGTGTCATTTGGGAAATATCATCCACCAGTGTGTGGACGTGTTTACTGAAATCATAGGATATTATTATTTACTAGCGGCCGCCCGCGACTTCGTACGCGTGGATCCCGTTTTACCCCCTTCATCTATCTTATGCGGTTTTGATATTTTCATACAAATGTTTTTTCCCGCTAACTCCCGTTCCCGTGGGAATTTCGCAATATCCTGTTGCAACTAAGCTTTAAGTTTACTAAGGTACCTGCATGCCAAATTTCAAACGTCTACCTTAAGCGGTTTAGATTTTTCATACAAAAGGATTTCCCCGCTAATTACCGTTCCCGTGGGAATTTTGCACTATCCTGTTGTAACTAAGCTTTAAGTTTACTAAGGTACCTACATGCCAAATTTCAAGCGTCTTACTTAAGCGGTTTAGATTTTTCATACAAAAGGATTTTCCCGCTAATTCCTGTTTCCGTGGGAATTCATAAGTATCCTATAACCTGCCCAGGAGTATGAAGAATAATTGTGCCAAGTTTCGTTAAAATCCGTCGAGTAGTTTTTGTTTCTATAAGGAACATACAGACAGACAGACAGACAGACAGACAGACAGACAAAAATTTTACTGATTGCATTTTTGGCATCAGTATCGATCACTAATCACCCCCTGATAGTTATTTTGAAAATATATTTCATGTACAGAATTGACCTCTCTACAGATTTATTATAAGTATAGATTAACGGAATAAATATCTCTTCACGAAGTCACCCACAACAAATAGGTTAACAAAAGTTCTGCGTTCTTATTTGTCTTCGCGTATCGAATTCTGAAATAGAGTACCGACGGAGGCAATTTAAATTTCCACCGCGTCGGAACTGTAATAATGTCCGCCTGTTGTTCCTGTTTGTCTACCGTACCCGCAATCTGGGTTTTCATTGACTGAATTTCATAGTGCGCGGTGTGGGCCGAGCGAAACGCTGCGATGTCGCGCGCACCGCTTGCGCTTCGTTCGTCTGCCGCGCTGCTTGGGTTATTGACCCGGCGACCGTGACACACCCCTCCCCTCTGCGGTTCGCGACTCTAGCGTATTCTGTAACTTATTTGTTCCTTGGTCCTCTTAATGCTGCTTCTATTAAAGAGGATTATCCGGACAGAATCGATGTTTAATTCCATCAGATTGGCAGACATCGATTTGCGCCGGGATTTCTTATCTGATGAGGTTCAGAGTTTCCGAAAACTTATTAATTTTTTCGCTGGTTTGGTCACGGAAATTCGTTTTGTCATTTACAAAGAAATTGACCATTGTCGCGTTGTAAAAAGGTGTTCCTGAGACGCCAGATGTAATAATATTTTGTTAGCAACGGGACATTTAGCAAGAGGCAAAAATACGATTTAAAATACAAACATTTCCTGCTCACAGACGACGTTTATTTCAATAGAGATGGATAGAATATATCTTTTAATGGCCATCTGTTTTTCGTTTCATCTTTAATCGCATTCGGTTGTGTTGCAAGAGAAAACATTATAATAAGTGAACATGACATTACGTGGGTATGGTAACGTCATTTGTTTGAGTGGTAGTCAACTATGTACAAAACATTGTTTTTTCAGTAGAGGCATTTTTTTAAATATTGTTTTGTAAAACTCTTTGTTATCTAGGTACTTATTTTATTTTATGCCGTATACGACAATAGAACGACTTATTTTTTTGCTATTTTTTGAGATGGAAATGTAATTGTTCAACACATTTTCCGCTGTTGCCAGTTGATCCCGGTTTCTGACCTAATTTCGCAGTTGAGGGGTCGCAAGGATCACAAATAACGAGTTAACTTCGATTGAATACGAGTGTTGATTAATAAGTTTATCTGTAACTACATATCCTAAAGTTTAATGGTTTTAAGAATGTAGTTTGATGATTTATGGGTAGTCTTCGACTCTTGAGCGATGGGAATTCATGTTGAAATGTGTAGATTATATTGTTATCCTGCCCCGCCCGGGAGTTGTAGGGCCCGCCTCCCGTGTCCCGAAACGCGACCCAATTTCAGGAGATTTGGGACATTTTCTTGACCGTGCGCATCAACGGCATCAATTTCGGTTCGTTTTCGTTTCGCACGATCTGTTTATATTTAAATTTGGTGTGAAACTGTGATGCGATGCGTATTTTTATGTTGTTTTTAGCGAATATGGTCCTTTATTTTTCAAATCTTACATAATTTTTGTTTCTGCTACTGGCGGTGAAGACATTTGTGAGACACGGGCCGGCCGTTGTAGGAGTTTTATACGATTGACGCACACAACATATAGCTATAAAGTAATTATTATAGTTATACTTATGTAAATTTTACCCCTCATTTTCAACTCCACTAGCATTAAAATAATATCTGTCTGTTACCGTTTTTATGCTAACTCAAAATGTATCGTACCGGGTATTGGAATCGCGTTCGGGTCAGATCAACCGAAAGTTCAGAGAGCACGAAGCGTCGACATGTGAAAAGCTACTTACCTGTTAATCGGCGCAAAAGAAAATCGGCCCGAATTCCTTTTGATATTTTTGGATAAAAAACTAAGCGCGATTACGCAAACCCTTATTCCACGAACAAAATTTTGTGCTTTAACGAGAAAAATCGAAGCATTCACAAACACTGAACAAATAAAGGGCTGTTTCAATTCCGAGCCAAGATGTTGATGGAGCCGCCAGATCAACCGAAGGTTAACAAGGGAAGGTGAAGCGAGACATGTGAAAGCTACTTATCTATTAATCGGTGGAACGGAAAACGTGAATGTTTCGTTTGCTATTTTTGTATGAAGATATTTATTTATCCCCGCTCTACGCTAACTTTATACTTTGTGGTATCTAGGACGTGCGATTACGACGCAGTATTTGTTCCTCTAAATAATACAATGTAAGTCGGATCACTAATTAGGTGAATCGGATTAACTAGTCGAGGAAAAAGCGCACGAAAAATGTCTTGGCATACGTGCCAAAGTTGCATCCATTCGGATTACCTCCGTGTTGCAGCTGCGTCGTTTGGGCACCAAATTTTCCGCATTGGACATTGCAATATTTTATGTTAGTATTTGGGATATCGGCCCACTCCCATTTGCTTTACTGAATATTTTAAAGGAACATGCACTTGCACGTATAGCCTTTTAGTTAATGCCATTGAAATTTCTAAAGTAGGCAAAACGGTAAAAATGAATTTAATATTCGAACAGCCATTACATGAAATCTATGCCGTTGTTTAGTCGTTTACGCCTACGAACTTACTTACAGCGCCTTAGAGAAACGCTCCTGTGGGTGTACGCTATACGGTAATATATTAAAGCAATTCATCTTGGTCTTAGATTAATTTCAAGTTTCGATGTTAATGAACTTGGAGGTAATGACAAATAGTTCATTATCTTAATCCGAGACGTGGTATTAACTTAAGCCTCACGAAGTGCCGTTTAGTTTTAGTCAGAAGATCTTTGAAAACGATTTAGTAAACTTTATAATCACTGAGGAGACAACATTGATAAATATAATTAATGTTTGGTTAGTTGTTATAAATTGTGTGCTCCAAAGCTATTAAATTATTGTCTCGCCAAAGGATTTAAAGCTCTTGGACGTGATCAAAATAATACAAGTTAATGTACTCGTAGTAGGTATCTATGAAATTGGCGTTGTTTGAGGATTGATGATGTGCTTTAAAGATTTACCCTACTGGGATTTTCGCTCCATAGCTTTTTATAAGCGTGAAAACGACCATTTTAACGTGATGATGCAGGGTTTCGTTACGACACTTGTTACAGCAAATTCGTATTTGCCCTCAATAACACGATGTATGTGATGCTGTACTACGAGTACATTATGATATTACCCAAATTATGCCCTATTTATAAAAACTAAACATTGCAACAAAATCGTTTAAAGGGCTTCCTCGTTGTGGATAAAAAAAAAATCTGATACTGGACTTTCAAGATTCTTATCACTGTTTTATTTAAAAAGTGTTAGGTACACCAATTTAAAGATTTTGCATATTTTTGTTCTTACATAAGTTTTGCTTTGGAATTATTGGATATTAGTGTTAACTATGGAATTAAGACAGTACCTAAATTGCTTTCTTGATTTGCAGATGAAGCGGCGTGTGGTATACCGCGCGGCGGCGAGGTGAGCCGGCGGGCATGGACCACGCGGTGAAGGCGATGTCCGCGCGCGGCCCGCTGGCGCGGCTGGTGTCGCGGCGCCGCTTCGAGTCCGCGGAGCTGGAGGAGCTGTATGCGCGCTACGCCTGCAAGCTGCAGCGGACCTCCGTCGGCTCCGCGCTGGCGCTGTGGGCCGCGCTGGCCGCCGCGCTCGCCGCCGTCGAGGCCACCCGCGGCTGGCGGAGAGCTCCGCAGGTGATTACTTCTTCCTTGAGTGTTGTCAGTCAAGTCCCGCGGAGCTGGAGGAGCTGTATGCGCGCTACGCCTGCAAGCTGCAGCGCACCTCCGTCGGCTGCGCGCTGGCGTTGTTGGCCGCGCTGGCCGCCGCGCTCGCCGCCGTCGAGGCCACTCGTGGCTGGCGGAGAGCTCCGCAGGTGATTACTTCTTTCTTAAGTGTTGTTAGTTAAGTCCTGCGGAGCTGAGGGAGCTGTATGGGCGCTACGCCTGCAAGCTGCAGCGCACCTCCGTCGGCTCCGCGCTGGCGGCCGCGCTCGCCGCCGTCGAGGCGGCGGCTGGCGGAGAGCTCTGCAGGTAAATTGATATTCTATTTTGTAGTTGTATCAACTAACCGTAGCTGGAGCAGTTAGGCTTGCAAGCTGCAACGGACCTACGGCAGATCGGCGCTGGCGGCCACCTGCGGCTGGCTTAGAACTCCGTAGGTAACTTGACGATCTATCGCGCTGTTGTATCTTAACTCAGCTGTGTGCCAGCAAGCTGTAGTGGGCCAGCGGAGGTTAAAAACTTTAACTGTGGTGTGTACTACCAATCAACTAATCTTCAAAGAGGTATTCTGGAGATCATATTCAATAGCTTTTTGTATCCATCCGCCAAAATTGTTAATTTCACTTAACATCTAGACAAATAAAGCCCTTTCAGCCTGCGAAAGGTATGATTAAATAACGGCAATGCTCTCTCGTGTCAGTTTTAAGCCAGGCTTTTGTCAGTTCTCGCTGTTGTCGAAATTGAGCCCACAAAAAGCTGGCGTGGACCGAATCAATACGTATGAGTGAGTGGGTTATCTGTTGTCATGGCTTATAAATTAAGAGGCGCACGCAAACTGGAGCGCATATCCTTTATGACCTGGGTTGGGCTCATTTAACTGGTTAATATGAATTTAGCGCAAATTGATCACTGATCAGTCTATATTAATTGCAGAATTCGATTAAAACCAGTTTTAGTTTAAATTGCGTCCTAAGTAGTTTCTAAGTGCAGGTCTACGTTGTAATAAGTTTACGAGCCCAGATCGTTGACTGTCTGTGTATATTCATATTGAGAGCACTCAATAAAGGCAAGTGGAACCCGATCGCAGTTACCATGTTACCAAAGGCCTATTTTACTGGGCTTTGTATGTAAAATTGGAGACAGACTGTTGTGTAGTTGGGACGTAGCGAAGCGAACTAATTTCTATGGCCAGTCAAACTGCCGATTAGTAAATTTTATACATATGTACAGTATTGTACAGGTACGTGTAAATTTGTGCGGATGGTTGATGTTTTTTCCTTTACGCAAAAGGTATCGAACAGATTTTTTTAGAAACATGAGATGCAATACGTACATAGGCAAGAGCATTTATTTGTAACATCGTTCCCAGGTCGGCGTACTAAGTGCGCACGCGGTGCTCTGCGGCGGCCTAGCGTGGTGGTGCGGGCGGGCGGGCGGCGTGGCGCCGGAGCGGCGGCTGCCCCGCGCCTGCTGGCTGGCACTTATCGGCGGGGGCGCGGCCCTGGCGGCGACCCTGCCCGCCTGGGGCCCCGGCGCCTCCGCCGAAGGCGCCGCGCACGTGGTCTGGGCCGTATTCGCGGCCTACGCCCTCCTACCAGTAGGCGCCCCAGTCGCCGCAGCTTTCGGCGTCGTCCTACCCACGATGCACACAATCGCCGCTGCGCTCGTCGCCCACCGCTTCCCGTACCATGTCTGGCAGCAGGTCAGTCAACTTCACACCTTATTTGTTTTTGAACACGTGCTACTATTACTTTGACTACGTTGACAGTGATTAACAACAGACAAAAACCAGTCTGAATTAATTACAAATATTAAATTAACAACTGTATCATATCAACAGCTGTCATAGGCGTTAATTGGATTAGGCAATGTGTCTTTTAAACGGTGTCGTCTACATTACCCAAAGGTCTTGTTTTGTTTATCACCACTCGGAACGGGCGGGAATGTTATAGTCGTCCTTGACTGTTTTATGGCCACTGGACTGGCCCGTCGTCGCAGGTTTATGAACAAAGGAAATGAAGTTTATTGTGTACAAATTGTGGGGTGTTTTCTTAATGGCGTTTAATGCAGCGTTTGACGTATCGAGTTGAATATCGGCGGAAGGTCGCAGCCTTGTCCCCGGGGTAGCGTCCGCCAGGGCTCGCGTGTGCCGATCACGTCATCGCCGACAAACAAACGTAACCTTGCCCATAAAACCTGCAGTTGAAGGTTTCGGTGCCTTTTAGCGGTTATACTGCCAGATATCTCTTTTTGCTCGTGAATATTCATGAGCGTTATAATAAACTTCTATCATCATAACGCAGAAACTTGTATGTTACTACAGTACTGAAATGGAATTCATAATGTAAAAGAACACAGCTTTTATATTACTACATTAGTATGGCTTATAAAATATGAAATCCGTAGTTCAGCTTTTAAATAACTTCTTGCTCTTCATATGCCATAATAACAGCTTATAATAAACAACGCCAAAATCATAAAAAGGAGAGAATAAACTTTAACATGGCTTCTTTAACAATAAAATATGACCTTGAGACGCGTCATTTTGGGATACGCAGTATTTGAGATATTTTTAGGTTTACTTCTAAAATTACTTGAACTGTTAAAAACTTTATTTCCCTATTTTCTGTGTGCTTTAATCCTTACGTCACCTTACAAGTCTTAAACAAACATTTTGTACAAAGTCGTTCAATATTTGGTTAGTTTCTCTCATCCATTGAATTAATCAGTCACTAGTGTTTGTTGTCTTTATAAACATTTGCGCAGCAAAGTGCACTATCATTTGGCAGTTGAAATGGTTTTAATTGACATCGCACTAAACAATTAGAGCAATTAATTCTGCTGAGTGTTCAGTATGCGTTAAAGGTCCCTCCCTGCATGTAGGGTTACCAGCCGAATGGATTTTATACGAACTTTAAAAAGTGCTATTATTGTGAGTAATATGTTCCGTATACAAGAATAGGTTAGTATAATTTTATTATTCCATGATAATAAAGGAAGAAAATACGAAAAGAATAAAGAAAAGACCTGTATTTAAGTTGATAAATAAACATAAAGGGGTCAGATTACCGCCGCTTTGAGGTATTAACGGCCACTGGAATAGCGTAAAAGTTTCGTTAAAATCTTTTATTTGTTTTGGTGCACCTTCTGTAGTTAACGGGCAATAAGTTTTCGATATTAATCCTAGAGTAGGGTATGGGTATAGGGTTAAGTATATTATTATGATTATTACACCAGTAAACCATTGTTTGAAAAATATTGTTTGGAACAGTAGGAATAATGATAAAATCTGCAGATACAAAGAATTGAGACAATTGAATCGGAATCGAAATATGCATTATAGAAACTGGGTTCTACTAACGTCACTGATCACATTAGAATTCCATGTAACTTATCTGTAACTATAAAACATATCTCAGTCGGACCACACGCCCGGTAAAAGTGTAGCTCATTTTGTGAATAAAAAATGGGTGTAATTAAATGAAGTGTTGGCTTATCTCTGGCCTGCATTACATGACCACTACGCTCTATTTCCCAGCGGTGTTTTAAGGGGATTGTACACCTGTCTACAACAAACGCGTGGAAAAAATCCGAAAGGGGTGGGACTAATCCCTAGTGAACATTTTATCGGTTAGTCATATCGTGTCATGACCATGAGGTGTGTTTTTCAGCAGCTTTTTCCTTAGAGGCTTTGCCCCTTACCTATTTGTATTTTTCCCCGACTGCGCCAGAAGGAGGGTTATGTTTTTAGAGTGTATGTATTTTGGTACAAAGTATCAACCGGTTTCAGAATATATTCTTTAAATACTCTTGAAGTCTAATGTATTTTTTGTATTTGCTTTTAAGTAAGCGTAGGTTATAGAAAAACAATGTCATATTAAAATTCAGCGATTCTTTCTAATAGGACGAAAGAGTCGTAGACGAAACACTGTTAAACTAATCTTGTAACTCTTGTAAATCGTGATATAAACGAAATAAATAAAAAACTAACAATAATTATGCAAAACTTTTGCGTCACTATTACGAAATTATGGAAATATTAATTAAATGTACGAGTGATTATGAAAATTCATAACCACCGTCGCGTGCGTCCGTATAGGTGTTCTCTCACCTTTAATGCCATTGTTTTATTGTGTGTTCACGTTTAATATCATTCGGGCTGCCCATTCATTAGGAGCATCTGGATAGTATGAAGCGAATCCCTCGGGCTAGATCAACTACGCTAATATTATCCTCGATACATAATGCGCCTTGGATTCCTTTCAGCTCGCTACGTTAATTTATGCTACAGGTACAACGATCTTTGACTTTTACTGTGAGTTATGATGACTATTAATGTTTAATAGTATAAGTTGGTAAGATTTGAAGCTTTCTAAACTAATATTATAAAGATGAATAGTAAGATTGTTTGAAACTACTGGAAAATTATTGCAAAATTCTTTCACCTTTCAACTGGTGAACATACGAGTAGATAGGCTATAGAATATTTTTAAAAGATTAGTTCGCCGGTAGTGGTATATAATAATATTCTTGGTTATAATATATTATAGGAGCTCAGGTGTCCATGGCAAGGTGTAGGCGACGGTGATTGATCGCAACATGTAGGCATAACAAAAACAAACTTATAAATAGCACGTACGTTAGAATGATTGGTTCAAACGCGTGCATTAAAATCTATTTATTTTGCAGTTAAGATTCAATATTTTCATCGCAGACATTTATTTGCTCATAAATCGTGTGTCTTAAGTTAACTTGTCTGCAATTAATCCATCATTACCCACGGGGTAATGTATCGCATGTATGTATACTAGCTGTGCCTGCGATTTCGTGCGCGTGAAAATAGTTTCAATAATATTTCCCGTTTTTTCAGCATAATCATTTTTCTTTACTGCTCCGTCCGATGTGTGATTATGTTTTATAGCCTTCCTTGATAAATAAATGGGCTATGCGAAGCGCGGGTAGGGCCCAAAAGATAAGGAGACATGTAAAGTGCCCCTTATGGACTACCTTTTTTATTAACTTTGTCAAAATTTAATATTATATTACCTACCTATTTCTGATTTTAAGATTATCGCGTTCAAGTAAATAAACAAACAAACTCTTCAGCTTTATAACATTAGTATAGATTCACATAAAACGAGTGGCTCGCATGGTCGGGATAGTTACGTAAAGTTGAGTAATGGCCGCCGTAAGTAGTTTCCAATTCGTTTGTGATTTATCGACGCGCGATCGTTCCGAAACGAATGCTCGGCTGACCTTTGTTTCGACCGGATTTAAATCGGCTCTCGCATTTATTTTCAGACGCACTCGGCAGTTGTACGAAAGGGTTGTTGTGGATATGCGGTCTCAGATAAGTAATTTTAAATTAAAAACTACGATCATTAACGTATAAATTGCTATTTACTTAAACTTAAAGTAATATTATAAAGCTGAAGGGATTTTTTTAGTTGAAAGCGCTATCTTAGGAATTATTGGTTCCTACTTATTTGAAAAAATATTTTTGTGTTGAATAGTCCATAGCTTGATGGAAGGTTATATCACGCTACGTCTAATAACAATAGTACCTACCTACATAGCTTGATATTCCAACTTGCAAAAATGGGAAAATTAATCCAACCATTTTCACGCGTACGACGAAATCGCGGGCACCGAGGCACAGCTAGTCATTATAATACGTAATATTCATTTATTTATTCACAATCAATCAAATTTTCACACAGTAATGGTATTCGTAAAATTGTCTGAAAGAACAAAACGACTAAATTACATTGTTTTACCGCTATTCGAAATTATACTGATCGGTTACGGTTATATTGGGTAGATTCAATAACGGTTACTAACATTATAATGTTTACAGTGCCTCTACCATGAGTTTACCTACCGAGCACCTCGCTATCGAGGGCGTAAAAAAATGTATGGCAAATTGTACAGCGCCTCTAGCGGTTAGTAGCTGAACCACAGCAAAACTAAAAACACTACCATGAGTTCATCTCAAATCGTTAGGTAAAAAACCTATCTAAATGAATACGATAGCGACTAAAGTTTTTATTAAGTTTCATACAAATAACTTACCATGAGTTGCAATTTTCAAAGATGTCATCGAAAAATACCTTAGCTGTCACAGTAACGTAACTCACTGGCTTATTGACGTGTGAAAAGCAAAATAAAATTGTGGTTTTAGGTCATTTTAGGTGTTTTCTTCATTAAATTATGTCGGAAAGAAGTTTATTACGATGGAACATGTTATCAGCATGTGGGCAGACCTCCCACTAGGTGGACCGACGATCTGGTGAAGGTCGCGGGAAGAACCTGGATGCGGGCACATTGTGAAGATCCTTGGGGGAGGGAGAGGATGCTGCGTTTCCCAGAGATATGCGAGGGAATTGTGTCGTGCGAAGATGTCTAGCTGTGCTGTGAAAATGTGTGCGGGTTTCCACCAAAGCTGTGCGAGGAAAATGTATCGTACGAGGATGTGTAGCAGAGATTTGAAAATGCTCATTAGTGTTGTACAGCCTGAGCCTTTTCTACCAGAGATGTGCTGACCGAGGCGAGGTAAATGAAGCGATTCTATTGGTTCTTTACAAACACATCCTTCGCTACGCATCCTCGCACATCTCTGGTGGAAACGCAGCCTTACGAGATCATGATAGAAAGCTAATCCGACAATGAATATGTATTTTCATAAGTTGAAATTTACTTTTG